AAAACAACAAGGGCGCTTGTCGGCTTCTGCAGTAAAACGTGAACTCACGATGCCTTGAAAGTGGACAAAACCGGCTTTTTTGACAAAACTTGTGTAGGGTTCAGATCGCGCTATATGTGGAAAATAATGCACGACAATCAGCTCTTTTTTTTTTTTAAAGTGGCGTTTATCGGTTTTTGCAAATGAACTCTTCATATATAATAAAGGTGTATCAATGCACATTTCCCGCTAGTCCTGTGTAAACTACAGCACGCAATGTTTTTTTAATATCGTGAGATATCGGAGCGCAACAAAGCAATGCAGTCTGAAGTAGCTGCTCAGTTTAAAACGATCTTGCTCGTCTCAATCTGCTCAATCTTGGTGATGGCAGTGCCCTAAACGATGTTATAATGGACTATTTCACATCCAGAGATGAAGGATTGGATGATGAAGTTACTAAAGAGGAGGAGTCCGATGACAGTCTGTTATATGCACAGGTGCACGAACAGTTGCGCTGCGCTCGCTTTTCTAAATGTAAACTCTAAGGTACACTATTTGAGCTATCTAAACATACAAAGGGTGATCAAAAGTTCAGAGACTATGCCCATGATTAACAACGGAAAACTGTCTTCTTCAGGGTAACGTGAGTCTGTTTGTGTAATGATGCATTATAGCGCTCCTGACAGACAGCTCTCGTTAAACCCGTGAAGTGAAAGTGAAACCCGTCTCACTTTAAACCCGTTTTTCTTCAAATTCAATTCCTGATAATCATAGCTATCAGCCAACTTCAGATAACCATAAGTTTTGTTACGTTTCAAGCTATGGACAAAATAACAGTTTTGGAAAGGGCTTGAACCCAGCTTTCATATGGTATCAAAACTTAAAAAAGGTAAAAATTTCACCATGTGTTGGGTTTTCCCAGATCGCATCACAAATGACAAAAAAATCCCTTAAAGACAAGAAATATTCCTCTGATCCACAACCAACTCCTAAAGTGTGCATGCTGAACTCATCATCTCATGTGTTGGTTTCTTACAGCTGAATGAACCACAGGACAAGACCACAACCATCACGGAAACTCAGCCGCTCAGCAACTACGAGACAAGCTATTACGAAACCAACTCTGCAGAGCCTGTTACGGTAAGATCCCCCTTCCCAAACTTTGATGTGCAATGCTTAGTAAACATTACTTTGAAGAGCTGTGAATCCTGTTCCTGAATCCAGTCCCTTTTGAACATAATGAACTACCCTTAATTCATGAACAGACCTAAGGTTGGTTTAAAGAAGAAAATCGGCAGATTATTGCTCATTGAAGTGAAAGCATTTTTAAAAAATGAATTTTTTTTTTTTCAGAAATCACGGTTTTTAATTTTTTTATTTTACTGATATTATTATTAAGTAATATCAATCAAACTGCAGTTGGGTTGTTTTGATTAAGTAATAATAACTTAAACAAATACAGGTAATTTACAAAATTAAAGTTCATTGAAAGTATGTTGTTTTACATATAAAAAAATAGTTTTATAGCAAAAGCAGATAACTCCAACGGTCGTTTTTTGGCAAAAGCAGATAACTCCACATTTCATGTTTTAGAGTAAAAAAAAAAACACTCGTTTAATCTTTGCAATCTCATCAGATGACAATGTAGATGCCTGACAAACGTTGTTGTTGTTGTGATCATAAACTGTATGGATGTGATTACACGCAATACACAGAGCTTTTCCCTCACCGAAAGTGAAACCCGTCTCACTTTAAACCCGTTTTTCTTCAAATTCAATTCCTGATAATCATAGCTATCAGCCAACTTCAGATAACCATAAGTTTTGTTACGTTTCAAGCTATGGACAAAATAACAGTTTTGGAAAGGGCTTGAACCCAGCTTTCATATGGTATCAAAACTTAAAAAAGGTAAAAATTTCACCATGTGTTGGGTTTTCCCAGATCGCATCACAAATGACAAAAAAATCCCTTAAAGACAAGAAATATTCCTCTGATCCACAACCAACTCCTAAAGTGTGCATGCTGAACTCATCATCTCATGTGTTGGTTTCTTACAGCTGAATGAACCACAGGACAAGACCACAACCATCACGGAAACTCAGCCGCTCAGCAACTACGAGACAAGCTATTACGAAACCAACTCTGCAGAGCCTGTTACGGTAAGATCCCCCTTCCCAAACTTTGATGTGCAATGCTTAGTAAACATTACTTTGAAGAGCTGTGAATCCTGTTCCTGAATCCAGTCCCTTTTGAACATAATGAACTACCCTTAATTCATGAACAGACCTAAGGTTGGTTTAAAGAAGAAAATCGGCAGATTATTGCTCATTGAAGTGAAAGCATTTTTAAAAAATGAAAGTGTAAAAAGTTATACAAGATATTTTGGAATCTAAAAGTGCTATAAAATCAAAGCTACATGCCCAAGTAAGTTATGATCCAAATTTGAAGTTGTCATTAAAAAATTAGGGTTCCTGTGAAATTTAAAGCGCTATGGGGAAGTCGTGGCCTAATGGTTAGAGAGTCGGACTCGTAACCCAAAGGTTGCGGGTTCGAGTCTCGTACCGGCAGGGATTGTAGGTGGGGGGAGTGAATGTACAGCGCTCTCTCCCACCTTCAATACCACGACTGAGGTGCCCTTGAGCAAGGCACTGAACCCCCAACTGCTCCCCGGGCGCCGCAGCAAAAAAAAAAAAAAAATGGCTGCCCACTCCGGGTGTGTTCACGGTGTGTGCGTGTTCACTGCTGTGTGTGTGCACTTTGGATGGGTTAAATGCAGAGCACTAATTCCAAGTATGGGTCACCATACTTGGCCACATGTCACTTTCACTTTCACTTTATAACAGAAATAGTCACCGGGTGACACCCAAACTCCATTTAATTTTTATTGATGCATTTTCCTGTCACAAATTTATAAATATTTTGTCAAGAACTTACATCTATGACAAAATAGTCACCAAATATGGAATCTTGAGACTCAGACCTTTCCAGTGATATGTTTTGTCAAGATTAGAGAAAGTTCTAATGATAAAATGCAGTAAATTTTGTAATTTGACACTTAACAAAGCCCCAAAGTACCAATGTCCGATTTCAAAACAGTTTTCACAGTATGAATTTTGAGTGTTTAAGACTTTGAATGATATCTAATTTAGGGTGATTACTAAAATATGTGATATGGAAAAAAGGCATTTAATAAAATAGCGCCAATCGGGATGCTGACAGTTAACAGTTGAAGTTACATTTTGTGATATGTGACCCTGGACCACAAAACCAGTCATAAGGGTCAATTTTTCGAAATTGAGATTTATAAACCATCTCAAAGCTGCACCAGTGTACTTGTATCACAGTAGGTACTAAAGACCCCCATCTTGCAGCAGGCGGTTTATATTCGTATGCCAATGGCGAAAGCTAGTGACTCGTAGCGATGTGTGGCATGTGCTAACACTGCCAAAGGGTCTTTTATGTGGATTAATATGATGAGATGGTTATTTCATCAACTATGATAACCGTAAAGCCAATTACTACAGCGGTTCTGTGTATGAAGGCCAGACTGAGACGCGTACCTTTGTGATCAAATCCCCAGGGGACTCGGTTTGGGCTTTCAATAAGTGCCCGTTTAATTAGTGAGTTTAAATTGAGTTGGCCACACCCCAAAAGGAAATTGAGCTGGAATGACAGGAAAAATTTTGTGATTTTTATTTTATTTCATTTCGATAAAATTACACACAGGCACACAAAAGAGGAAAAATTGTGTGCTTGTGTGCATCATTCATGACATTAATCATGATTATTGTTTTCCTGATATCATATCAGTAATATATTTATATAGACATACATTTACATTTACATATATACAGACTTATTTTTCTATACTGTACTGGAAATAGTGTTTTTCTAACATGGTCCACACAATAAAAGTTCCATATTATTTATCATATGAATTATGTATAATATAAATGTTTTAATATTGTTACATTTATGTATTTAATGAATTATTTAGTTATTTATAAATAGTCATATTTAATATTATTAAAATGTTTTATTGTTTTTATATGTTCATAAATATGAGTTGTGTATAATATTTTTATTTTATTATTTATTTATTTTTATTGTTTTTGTATAATTTATTTATTTTATTGTTTTTATATATTCATAAATATGAATTGTGTATAACATTTTTATTTTATTATTTATTTATTTATCATTTTATTTATTTATAAATAAGAATCATGAGTTATATTTAATATTAAAATGTTGTATTATAGTTTTATTTATAAATATTAAGTATAATATTACAATATAATATAATATATTCTTTATAAATATGAATGATCAAATTCATTTAAAATGTTTTTATTTGAATAGTGTCATATTAATATTGTTTTATTGCATATAAATCTACAAACTTTATTTAGAAATTCTATATAATCACACATTTGAGTAATTCATACTGAAAAATTAAATGTATTATTAAAAAATGAAAAATTCCCTCACAAGAATGATGATTAAGATTATGAAGAATTGTACAGGTAAATCATTTCCATTCTGAGCGGCGCACATCCCTGATAGCCCAGTTGAAGGAAATTTGCTGGAATAACTGGTATTAAATCTGTGAAATTGAAATTACCTTCTTTGTACCATTGCTAAGAAAAATAAAGTCCTTTCTTTGTCCAGACCTTTATAACATGGTTAAATGACTGGGGCTGAAACTTGCATCACCTTATAACTGAGAAATAAAAAAGAACATTCGCCTCACATAATTAGAAACCAACTTTTGCTTCATTGCTCAGACAGCAATACACACACACACACACACACACACACACACACACACGAGATAACCATCACACCATATTAGCACTTTTAAATTACATTTGGGCTCACTATGAGTCAGGAGGTGAAGTGTTCTATCAAACCGTTTTATCTGCTGAATCTTCATTCGGTATCAATTAACTCTAATAAATAAGAATGTGCGCTTCTGTTCTCCAGCTATTACACTGATGCTTAATGACCGATCGAGGAACTATTAAATTAGCATTAGCAGCACCTCAGTGATTGTAATGAATTGTGAATGTGTGCACGTGCAGCTTTTTACATGTGTCTGAACCGGACGTGTGTGCCGTGACAAAACGACATCACTGCGGTTATGATCAGAGGAGCTGTCTGAAATCATTTTACGAGGAATGCGATTCATTGGTTTTAATTCGTTCATTCATTATCCTTATTTTCTAAGGATTGTGCATTTAAATAACTTCACACTCTACAGATTTGAACTAATGCAACATTGTTTATTTATAAATATGAATCTTGTTTAATATTATATTTTAATATTATGAAACGTGTTTATTATGTATGAATTACATATAAAATTAAGTCTAATATTATTACATGAATGTTATAATATAATATTAAAATATATTGTATTATGTTTTAATAAATATGAATTATGTATCATACTTTACAGATTCCAACTAATGCAACATTATTTATTTATAAAAAACATTTTTCAAAAACTATTTATTATTACTATTATTATAATATTATTTTTATCTCAGTATTACTAATATATAATTTTGTATATTTATTTATAAATATGAATTATGTATAAAACTCATGCGAAATGTATTTATTTATAATAATGTTATAATATTAATAACAATATATATTCACTTATTATATATATATATATATGAATCGTGTAACATTGTTTAATATTTAAAAATTATTTTAAATTAAATTAAATATTTTATTTATAAATATGAATTATGCATACTTTCTATATCAATATTTATTTTAATAATAATAATAATGTGTATATACACAGTATAATGTTATATATTATTAATAATAATAATATACAACACATATTATGTGTTATAATGTTTCATATTATATACACATTTATTTATTTAAATGTTTATTTACGAATGAAGATATAGAAATACATATGCGCACATATTTATGGGTAATTCATACTGAACATTTTTCTTAAACTTTTTACATTTACAGGTCTTTGAATTTAATTGAGCTTAAATGATGCTTTGATTTGTGTGTGCTTCAGGATCTAGATGATGACAACACCGGCCCTCCGGCTAACGGCGGCACCCCCACGGTCTGGGACGGCTCAGGACACCCTCCCGAAAAGGACGACACGACCGACGAGACCCTTCCACCGTACGAACCAGCTGACCAGAATGACGTCGAAGCTAACTATACTAGCGTAGCCCGTGACGAAAGTTTCGTGTCCAAGCCCATGTTGGTCTAAAAATGTAGGCTGTGCCTGCGATTTGCACTGCCACCATCCTGCCCAGCCGCGGACGCCCGTTACAGCACAGCCGGCTATAGTCCACGGCTCGGGCACAAACACATCCAAAATCACACAGCCTGGTGACATTTCTTTTACACGTGGCTAACTGACCTTTTAACCTATTCTCATGGTTTTGTGGATTACACCTTTTGGACCAGATCGGATTTTGGACATTTGATAATGTATGACAAGAAGTTCTTAGTACTTTAATCAAGCACACTTTGATTAGCAATTAACGGTAAAACAAAACCATGAGAATTGGTCATTATTCACTTTTTGGGCTACCATGTTACATTTATTTTAATCCTGGTTACGTGAAAAACATGCACAGCAAACACATTCAGAAAGCGTTTAATTTTCCTGGAAGGTCTAAATATAAAAATTGCTTTCAGTATTTTAAAATACACTGCATATACTGTCAACCGTTGCTTATGTTTTATGATCTGTATTTTTTATTTTGCGATCTCGGTGTAGTGCTCTTTTAAGGTTTAGCTTTCGTCGGTTTCGTGCGTTAACGAAAAAGTCTTGTGGTATATGCAATGTATTTTACATACAGCAAAATTGTATTTTTATATTTTATATCTGATGTCATTTTGATCAATTATATCACAATTATAAAACAGATGTATGCATTATTTTCTTATTTTTGTTTCTTTGGTTGTTTGGCGTGTTCATTTGTTTTTGAAAAGTACCAAATAAGTTCTGTAAATAATATAAGGAAATCATATATATATATAGTCAGTCTAACATGCGTTAAAAAAATCTATAAAACGAAACAAAAAAAGGAAAATGCCAAGAAATCCAAAAATATACCAGTGGGGCGCAAAATTAAAAAGTGTACACTTTCTGAAACTTTCTTTTAACGGGTATTACTAAAGTCGTATGCTGTTGTTTTCCTTATTGATACGTGTGGATTTTGTTACTGTATAATCTGCATGGCATGATTGGTTGCTTTCCTAAAAACAGTGGGCACCTGTCGCAGCCTTTCCTCGCTCCCCTTTTTTCTGGCTGTAAGAAGCACAATATGCATATAGAGATGTTGAAGGTGACAGGAAGAGTTTCATTTTCTGCCTTCGGATGCTAAACATTAATGTTAAAGACCTCGTGAAATCTCTCGTCGAGCACAGTTTTCTTCTGTATTGACATCTCCTACTGAAACTTCATTTTAGAAGGTCAAAAACACAAAAGATCCAGTCCATTTTAAAGTAGTCAACTGGCTTTAGTTACATCACATGAATTGTTACTTGCTGTTACTGGTCAAGGCTGATTGTATTGTGGGTGGGACATTCTCATTCCTGAAGATAATCCTGAAGAAAATGTATCGCAGTTTACAGAAAATATTAAGCAGCAAAAAAAATGTTTTTAACATTGATAATAATAATAAGAACCGTTATACATAATTGTGCATATAACTGAGCAGCAAATCGGCATATTTGAATGATTTCTGGAGAATCATGTGACACTGAAGCCTGGAGTAATGATGCTGAAAATTCAGCTTTGCATCACAGGAATAAATTACATTTTAACTACAAAAAACAGTTATCTTAAATTGTAATAATACTTCACAATATTACTGTATTTTTGATCAAATAAAATGCTGAACATAAGAGATTTCTGTTAAAAATATATTTTTTAAAAATCTTAATTTCTCCAAACTTTTGGCCGCTAATGTATATATTAGTTTCAAAGTCAACAGGCATAAATTGAAAGCCAGAAAAATCTGATTTTGATTCTACGTGGTAATAAAATTCAAATGCACTGTGTATCACTGATTTCTTCTTGGCCACAGCGCTTCAGTCTGTTTGGCCAAACGTTATCATTACTGCTCTCATATTCCTATAGTTTTTCTTGAAAAGAAGTGCCAGTTTTGATTGCAAGAATTGTAGAAAGTTTACATCTCCTCCTTAAAGGAACAGTTCACTTAAAACTCATTTATGTTGTTCCAAAGCTGTATGATTGTTTCTTCTGTGGAACACAGAAGGAGATATTTTGAAGAATGTTCATTCTTTATTATTGACAGACCCAACTCACTGAAATTCCTGCCAGTTTTGGTCACCGTTTACTTTCACCGTATGGAAGAGAGCAGCTATAAACATGTGCTTTTGTGTTCCGCAGACAAAGAAAGTCATACGACTTTTGAAAGACATAAGAGTGAGTTTATTTTTGGATGTGCTATTCCTTTAAGAGACAGATGAGAAACAGAAGTAGGTTATGAAATGGTGTTTTTTTTTTCTTTTTTTTTTCACTGGTTCTTGGATGGCATGGCAACTAATTCCATCACTGTTCATGTCTTTCACTCTTGAATGTAATCTTTGCACATCCACTTAAAGCTGTCGATAGATCTTCGTGTCATAGTGTCTGAATACATTGTTGTAATTGTGCCAAAGAACTCGTATCAAAACCATAGTGATGCAACGAACGAAAGACTCGCTAACAGGTTACAGAAGTGATAAATGGAATGAACGGACAGCTTTTTTAACAGTCACATGGAGCGGAAGCCTGCACATTCACAAAGCACATAAAATGCAGGATCTTTAGATGGGTGAATGGATGAATAGGTGTTCAGGCGCCATGACAAACACAGACCGATCGATGGATGGACGGTACAGTTCACCTAGATGAATTAACAAGCCCTCCTCATTCTTGATTAGCCATCGATCACATTCGCCGCCTGATCTTCTGGCCTGTTGGACATCGCAGAAAATTACCGATTCTCGCAAAACGTTTATTCTCGTCATGACACGACAATCTTTCACCTGTCGTCTCGGTTTAGCTGAGTTGTGGTCTCGTCACTGTTTCTGATAAAGGGAATGCAAGTCTGCATGCTGCATGAGATTTGGGGTTCGCTTATGTTATTCTCACGCGCAAACGGGCCGTCTTCACGCAACCGTCATTCGCTAAAATGGTGCAGTATTAGACAATCACTGTATGTTATACACTCATCAAATAAGGGTTTTTGTGTTTTAAACTGTGATTTCATTTTTTCTAAATGACGTTTTATTTAAGCTTCTGTATTTTCGAATGTTTTTCAAATGTTATGTCTTATATACATTACATACTGTATGCATTATGTATAGTTTTAAATAATATTAAAGTTTTAATGCCATTTTGAATGTTTAAAGACAATCAAAGGAGTGTGGAACGTTAAATGGATTGTTTAGCCAAAAATGACATTTCTGTCATCTTTTACTCACCCTTGTGATGTTCAAACTTGCCATTTTTCTTCTGTAAAACACAAAAAGAAGATATTTTGAATGTTTCAGCTGCGGTCCAAAACAACAGAAGAAATCATTCCATGCATGTTTAGTACAACATAAGGGCGAATAAATGAAGGCAGGATTTCCATTTTCCAATGAACGATCTCTTTAACAAAACAGAGGCCCTCTAAAATTAGTCTTTGGTTACCGAACAACTCTTGTCATTCATCAGATGTACTCTCCAGCAAAACAAACACACTTTATTTGCCATATGTCTATACTTCATTATCACAAATCATATCAGAGACCGTTTCAAAGTCATCTGCCGCGTGTTCGCTTGCGCGCTGCCCTGTCATCGTCAAGCCAGATGTGCCTTTGTTACTTTGTTTTGAGCCATTTTACTGACAGATTTGTTTTGCCTGAGACAAAAGGAAATCATTGACTGTATAGACCGCCAAAAGGGGAGAATTGTGACTCTTTTTATTTAAAATGTTAATTTTTGCATCTAATTTCTTTACAGACTGGGATTATTTTATATGCATAAGCAACTTGATCTATGTTTTATGGTTCATTGTGATGTCTAATAAACTATAAGCCAAATCTCATGTTGTGAGGCATCTTCTGTATCATCTAGAGCTATTGTTGTTCTGAGATCTCAGCGTAATGTACTGCAGTTTGTGGGATATTACCAAATGCCCAAAAAGTGTTTGGCATCCGCTTATTGATTTACCATCTGAGAGACCTTCACAAGATCTGGTCGTTTAACTCCTGAACTGTGAAAATGTCAGACTCTGATGTCAAACATCAGCCTGCTGTCTAAACTTTAAGAGCAGGACTTTAGGTAAATACAAATTTAGATGCTTTTAGAGCCTCTCATTCTGTTAATATGTCCGGTAGACTGTGCAATATAAAGAATACATAATGTAATACACTTTTTTTAAGTCACAAACAAACTAAAAGCTTGGGATGTTCTCAGAACAGATATGTGACTTTGAAAGACTTTTAAAGTATCTATTTAATTCACTCTTCACAAAGACCCTGACCCCTTATGCCGAGTTCACACTGCACGATTTTAGCATGATTTTTCACTCGCCGACAGGTTTTGCGAAATCACCGACAAATGCCCGAAATCGGAGGCAAATCGGTGCTCGTTCACGCGAGTGACAATCACGCAGTGTGAATTATCAAAGACGCGATCTGAGGGAATCGCCGACGCCCTTAAAATATTTGGCATGTTAAATATCTGGAGCTGTCGGCGATTCACAATCACACTGTGTGAAATGAGTTCTGACTGAAAAACACATCGGCGATGACCAACAGCCAATGAGAGACCAAGATACAGGGCAGAGGGAAGTTCGGGGAGGAGTTATAGACCAGAATATCAGTATTTTAATAGATATATGAACAATTATATCATACAGAAACAAGCACAAACATTTGCTTGCCCAGCCACAACACTATAGACCAGAATATCAGTATTTTTATAGATATATGAACAATTATATCATACAGAAACAAGCACAAACATTTGCTTGACCAGCCACAACATCAGCATAACAGTTACTGCAAAATTATTTACCTCCAACTCTCTTTGCAGAACACCCAGTCCCTGTTCCCTGCATCTCCCTCCTGCGTAATCTGTTTTTCTTTTTCTCCTTGTAGCTGGAAATCAGCTCACAGACAATTTGCGGGCTATATATATATTTTATAATTCCAGTCTTGCTGGAGAACTCTGGTCTGACGCACGCGGGTTCTCGCGTTATTTCCTTATCACTTCTCGCATGTGTTTTGTTGTGAAACGTAGTTTGCGGACCAGACAGAGTTGTCTGTGATTCTTCCTATTGTAAAGTCATGCAGTGTGTAACCTCCTGTCGCCGATCCATCGTGCAATGTGAACACAGCAGCGACTGACTGCTACCTCAGATAGTCCTGCAGTGTGAAAACCATGGTGACCCGACAACTTTGAAAATCGTGCAGTGTGAACTCGGCATTAGTTAGCCATGACACTCTCACGCATGTTTACACGCAGTAAGAAATACATCGAGGAGTAAAGATAACACTGACGACAGAAAAGACAGCAGGTTACTTTTGGTATAAAACTAAATTTCAGCTTCCAAATTTTGACATTTTTTAAAAGAAATTCAAACAATAAATACCATTTTGTGTCTCTTCCATGTGTCGTGATGTAGCGCTTCAGTCCAAGCGGCACGTGAACCGATCTTCTCTTCATCTTTACTGCTATTTATAGCATGGAATAAACATGAATGAACATCAGAAGATATGTTGTTTCAACCCGAAAATACATCAATACTCACCATTTTTCAAGTTTAAGTCCACCGACGTTAATCTATTAACACTCCTGTGTGTTTTTTTTTTTTTTCACTCCTGTGTGGTTTGTTGTCGGACA